TAAATCCATCGTTTTGATAGGACACGCATTGTACGAAAATAGTTTCAATGATCCAACCGTTAAACGTGTTTTTATATGCTTCAAGATCTCATACTCCAAAAATGGCAAAAAACGAACATGCAGAGATCAAGTAACAAGACAAAACATTTCGACGGTTATAAATGAAAAATCACGATTTAACGGTAGTTTTAACTCCGATTTTGATGATTTTTTACAGATACACTCCTTATCCTTATATGAATACAATGAACTAATTCGATCGTCAATTTAAAGTATTTACACAAGTGGATACCACAAAAGCTTAAGTTATACTTAATGAAAATATAATTAAACTCTTAAGTGTTAGTAAATGAATCGTTTTGATGGGAAACGCATTGTACGAAATTAATTTCAATGATCCAACCATCAAACTTGTTTTTATATGCTTCAAGATCTCAAACACCAAAAATGGCAAAAAACGAACATGCAGAGATCAAGTAACAGGACAAAAAAATTCGACGGTTATAAACGAAAAATCACGATTTAACGGTAGTTTGAACTCCGATTTTGATGCTTTTTTACAGATACACTCCTTGACCTTATATGAATACAATGAATATATTCGATCGTCAATTTAAAGTATTTACACAAGTGCATACCACAAAAGCTTAAGTTATACTTAATGAAAATATAATTAAACTCTAAGTGTTAATAAATCAATCATTTTGATGGGAAACGCATTGTATGAAATTAATTTCAACGATTCAACCGTCAAACTTGTTTTTATATGCTGCAAGATCTCATAGGCCAAAAATGGCAAAAGAGGAACATGCAGAGATTAAGTATCAGGACAAAAAATTTCGACGGTTATAAACGAAAAATCACGATTTAATGGTAGTTGTAACTCCGATTTTGATGCTTTTTTACAGATACACTCCTTGACCCTTTATGAATACGATGAATGTATTCGATCGTCAATTTAAAGTATTTACACAAGTGGATACCACAAAAGCTTAAGTTATACTTAATGAAAATATAATTAAACTCTAAGTGTTAATAAATGAATCGTTTTGATGGGAAACGCATTGTATGAAATTAATTTCAACGATCCAACCGTCAAACTTGTTTTTATATGCTTCAAGATCTCATACACCAAAAATGGCAAAAAACGAACATGCAGAGATCAAGTAACAGGACAAAACATTTTGACGGTTATAAACGAAAAATCACGATTTAACGGTAGTTTTAACTCCGATTTTGATGATTTTTTACTAATACACTCCTTGACCCTATATGAATACAATGAATATATTCGATCGTCAATTTAAAGTATTTACACAAGTGAATACCACAAAAGCTTAAGTTATACTTAATGAAAATATAATTAAACTCTAAGTGTTAATAAATCAATCATTTTGATGGGAAACGCATTGTATGAAATTAATTTCAACGATCCAACCGTCAAACTTGTTTTTATATGCTTCAAGATCTCATACGCCAAAAATGGCAAAAAACGAACATGCAGAGATCAAGTAACAAGACAAAAAATTTTGACGGTTATAAACGAAAAATCACGATTTAACGGTAGTTTTAACTCCGATTTTGATGATTTTTTACATATACACTCCTTGACCCTATATGAATACAATGAATATATTCGATCGTCAATTTAAAGTATTTACACAGGTGGATACCATAAAAGCTTAAGTTATACTTAATGAAAATATAATTAAACTCTAAGTGTTAGTAAATCAATCGTTTTGATGTGAAACGCATTGTACGAAATTAATTTCAAAGATCCAACCGTCAAACTTGTTTTAATCTGCTTCAAGATCTCATACGCCCAAAATGGCAAAAAACAAACATGCAGAGATCAAGTAACAAGACAAAAAATTTCGACGGTTATAAACGAAAAATCACGATTTAACGGTAGTTTTAACTCCGATTTTGATGATTGTTTACAGATACACTTCTTGCGCCTATATGAATACAATGAACTAATTCGATCGTCAATTTAAAGTATTTACATAAGTGGATACCGCAAAAGCTTAAGTTATACTTAATGAAAATATAATTAAACTCTAAGTGTTAGTAAATCAATCGTTTTGATGGGAAATGCATTGGACGAAATTAATTTCAACGATCGAACCGACCAACTTGTTTTTATATGCTTCAAGATCTCATACGCAAAAAATGGCAAAAAACAAACATGCAGAGATTAAGTAACGGGACAAAATATTTTGATGGTTACAAACAATAAATCACAATTTAACGATAGTTTGAACTCCGATTTTGATGATTTTTTTTTCGACAAAAATATTTTTGATTTAAATTTTAATAAATATTGTAATGAAATTCTAAACAATAAATAATAAACCCCAAAAGTATTCATCAATATATACTATATTGATTGATACCCACCAAAAGTATTCATCAATCTTGAAGGACCAACCAAAAGTATTCATCAAAAGTATTCATCAATATTGCAACGATGAGAGTGGTTCATTAAAATAAACAGGAAGACAAACTCCAGACAAGTCCTTCCCAATATTATTTTTCATAATCGACCACAAGCCAATATGCTTCTCTTTCTCCTTGGGTTCTGGCAAATCATCCCTCTTTTTCACATATGGTTATTTAATTGTCTTGATCTCCTCAACTCCATGCAATCGATCAGAAAAGAAAGAATCTCTTTCAAATATACAATAGGAAGCACTGCTTAGAGCATCTGAAGACAAAATAATTCATATCAAATTATGTATCTTTACTTAAACCAAAAGAAAGATTCTCTATCGTATACCATTTCCCAAGTCTTCTCATATGTGAAAACAATGAGTTCAACAAAATACTAAGATAATGGAAAGATAACTGACCACTAAATCTCCCATTCCCCTGTCTGTATGACTCACGCTCCTTTGTTTCATCCACTACTGTAGTTTCCAGCTCTATTTTTTCTGTCTGCAAAAGGAAATTTAGATAGGGATTTACTTTCTGACTAGCAAGATTTCCACCACCCCTTAGTGATTAAATGCACATGTATAAAGAAGAAACTTAGTGATTAAATGCATGGAAATACCTCTAATTGCCTCAATGACTCCAACAACATCACATGTTTACGCTGAAGACCCTTCATTTGATTTTGAAGCTCTGACACTTCTAAGAGCATAATTGACTCGCAGTCTTTGATCACCGGCTCACCAATTCCCTCATGTGCTAATCTTAGTCTTAGCTTCTCTGTCGAAACAACTATATCTTCCGAAGGTACCAAATCATTGCTCGTAAACACTCTAGGGAAAAGATCTTTAGCACCGAGTAGTGCCTCAATCCATGTAGCTCGGTCCTCTCTGGTCACACACCACAAGTGAAGAGTTTTAGTTCCTGTGAATATGGAAAGCCGTTTATCATTTGATTTGTTGGCATGAATTAAAGAGACCTGTAAACCAGATTTTGAATCGCTAAACTTCTTCATATATACTATTGATGAGGTGCTAATAAACAGATTTTGAATCGCTCCCAAAGAAAGGCTAGAGAAAAGATGCCTAAATGCAATCAACAAGACTTCAAGGGATCAATCATGGCAATGAGACAACAACAAGAAAGCATCAAAATTTACGCGATTAAAAACCATTGGACCAAAAGTTAAAAAAAAATAAAAAAGGGAAAATTTGAAACAAAAGTAACACCACCAATATATAAATAATCAAATTAGTGCAGAAAAGTTAAACCAAACAGATCGTAATCGAAGACGAACAGAAAGGCCAGGAATACCTACGTTTTCAATGCTTAAGGTTGACTAGTAGAGACAATCTTGTTTGAGAAAACAGGTGAACTAGGCAGCCTAAAACACGATAGATCAAAGTAACTAATGTTTTATGCAAGTTGTGTCACTTTTTTTGCTGTTCTTGTACATGTAATTGAGTTCTAGAATCCAGCTTTACATATAATCAACTAAAACCCAAAGCAAAAAAGAAGAGGCCATAATCCCTTTTGATCATTGAGCTGAAATCGCTGGACGATTAATCAGCTTGAGAATCCAAAAACACAAACACCCAAGAGGAAAAACCATTCAAGAGAGGAAACCCCACAAACAAAACGAGGAACAGATAGAGGGAAGTTGAGTGCATACCAGCAAGATGTGAGAGGTGGGTCTTAGTGGGTTTTCTTTTCTCTGTGAGCTTTGGAAGCAAAGCGTCAATGGAGAAACAGAAATGTTTTATGTGAAAAGGAGCCAATATTATCCTTCATAATCGACCACAAGCCAATATCTTCAAGATTAGTCCCACATTTGAGCTGCTTAAAATAGAAATGTTATATTGCCAGAATTTTAGGAAGTGTAAGTGTGGGAGTCTAAATACTGTGAAGCTATTATATTTACCTTTTCAATGGCCACTTCAATACGTTTCAGCAGGTCCCTTGCACTGGTTTTTTCTGTGAACCCTGCAAAATGCAGATACCAAAATTTAAAATCTTCTCAACATCATCCCGAGAATCAAGAGATTCGCAAGCAAAGCCTTGTGACATATGAAACCAAATCTGTTTTTTCATCACAGCCCCGACAATAGTATTCAGAATCCAAGCCAATGCTTCCTCTTACAGTGCCAGCCATGTAACATTGCAAGGCACAATCAATATGGGCAGCATGCCCACATATGCTACCATCATGCTTCAATGCTTCGCATCGAATGTAATCATAACCTGCACAGGACGAGTTTACAGACTTGCAACAAAGAATGCAACAGCAATCACGGCAGAACTTAATCTATGTGGACATCTACACCTGATCCAAATGAAGTGAATCCAAAATGAACATGTCAATTCATAATAAAAGCAAATGATTACATGCTAAAACAAAATGCAGCTTCAAAACCGAATGAGCATAAATACTAGCACATCTGCATAAATATGACCTAATCCAAATGAAGTGAACAAACATAAGTAAACACATAGAACTCTGAATAATTTAGTCTATGTGCACATCTACACCTGATCCAAATGAAGTGAATCCAAAATGAACAAGTCAATTCATAATAAAAGCAAATGATTACATGCTAAAACAAAATGCAGCTTCAAAATCGAATGAGCATAAATACTATCATATCTGCATAAATATAACCTATAACGAGTATAAATAACTTGTACTTCGTTGTTCAGATTGGTAAAAAATGGAAAATACCTTCAAACGATCACGATCAGATTCTTCCCGTGCCTTTTTTAGTTTGACTTTGCCTCTCCTCAGCCCCCTGGTTGTTTCCTTTACAAGTTTATATTAATCCTCATCCGAACTACAGTAATAACTCTCGCTATCCTCACTACTATCATTTTCGGATTTCCATTCGTCCTTATCTTCGTTTGCCTCTTTCGGTGCATTGTATCGCAGCAGCATCACCAAGGTCAATTGATATTTCGAATTCGGGAACTCCAACTACTTCAAATGGTTCTTGGACAACATTAGTATCCCGTAGTATTTCTTCACCAATTTCTATCAAAGATGAAAACTGTTGTCAGCCGTTGCTTCCGAGCAACAAAATCCTCAAGAACTCCTAGTAATACTTCTTCCTCAAATGCTTCCCATTTACGCCTTCTTCCCTTTTGGCTCTTGAGTAGCATTCAAAATATTATCGTTATCCATACCTAAACAAAAAATATTTTAATGAAGGAAAATATCATACAAATAATCAATTTGCATAATATCCAATCAACTTGCATAATATCCAATCAACTTGCATAATATCCAATTAATTTGCATACCATCCAATCATTGTGCTAATATCTAACAAATGCATGATAAAAAGGAATACTAAAATAAAATGTTATCATTAAAACATATAGCTAGTTCGGTTGCTGGTTCCTAATTGCTCTCCACTCATTATACATTTCCTGAGCCATATCATTCCTCATTGCAGTCCACTGGTCCGATGTTTGAACACTACCAACATATTCACATTCTTCTGTATTTTGTCCATCTTCTATTATTGGCAAATTCTCCATTGGATCTACTGACATCTCTTGCCTAATAAGATTGTGTAGTAGGCAACAAGCGGTAATTATTCGACCTTGTGTCCTTATCGGATAGAAAGATGGACTCCTTAGTATCGACCACCTTCCTTTTAGCAAGCCAAAACAGCGTTCAATTACATTCCTTGCCTTAGAATGCTTCATGTTAAAATATTCTTCCTTATTAGAAGGTGTTCGTCCCTCCCATTCAGATAAATGATAAGGTATTCCTCTATAGGGTGCAAGGAATCCTTCACCATTTGTATAACCACCATCTACAAGGTAATAAACAACCTAATGAAAAAAAAGACCTTATTAGTGTTTTGTAGTTGACAAACAGAACTAAACCTAACTTACAAAGTTGAGACTAAGTAATAGTCTTACCCGCTGGTACCTTAAAACCATTAGGCCTACTAATCGCATCATGTAGCACTCTAGAGTCTGATGCGGAACCCTCCCACCCCGGAAACACATATATGAACTGCATATCTCCTGAACACACACCTAACACATTAGTTGCGACTCGACCCTTTCTTGTTCGGTATCTTGGTTTGTCAATTTCAGGTACATGCACATCAATGTGTGTTCCATCCAATGCTCCCAAGCAATTCTTAAAAACCAAAAATAATAAAACTTTTTTGTTAATTTATACAAAGGGAATGAAGAGTTAAAGCTTAGGGAAAATGAAAAAAATTTTCTCATCATACCTTAAAACATCGCCACCTAGCATCTGTAGAATCAATAGGCACAGGCTGGGGGACTTTTAGTAGGGTACCTTGTAATCGCAAAATTCCTTGCAATACGCTATTGAAATACCTACTTATAGTCTCTCCCGACCTATAAAATCTACCGCCAACACTACGATTCTTAGTATGATGTGCTAATATTTATAAAAGTCATACACACCTGTTCCTCTACAGACACCAAACCATCAGTTTTTACCCTCCCATCTTGACGAAGTAAGTCGCATAATATGCCAAAAGTCCTTCTATCCATTCTCAATTCGTTAACACATTCAGTATCAGTATTCCCTATTATACCATTCAGATAACACAAACTAATCTCTCGTCTAATAAGTGAACGGTTAGTCAATGTGGGTCGTTCAACATGTCTCTGTTTGCCACGTAGCATCATCACCACAAGAATCGTACAAATACAAATTGTCTCCAAATAAGACATCTCTAACAATAAGATCAATAAAAGCTTCCTTCGATCCATATCTATCCAAACAAAAAAAAAAACAATAAACAAATTAACTAAATCATTAACCCGAGGCAACAAATATACATATGGCGTTGAAAAAAAAAAGTTATCATTAACCCGAGGCAACAAATATACAGGTGGTGTTGAAAAAAAAAAATTTCATTAAACCCGAGGCAACAAATATACAGGTGGCGTTGAAAAAAAAAAAAAGTTTTCATTAACCCAAGGCAACAAATATACAGGTGGCGTTGAAAAAAAAAAACTTTTCATTAACCCGAGGCAACAAATATACAGGTGCCGTTGAAAAAAAAAAGTTTTCATTAACCCGAGGCAACAAATATACAGGTGGCGTTGAAAAAAAAAACTTTTCATTAACCCGAGGCAAACAAATATACAGGTGGACAGGTGGCGTTGAAAAAAAAAAAAGTTTTCATTAACCCGAGGCAACAAATATACAGGTGGCGTTGAAAAAAAAAACTTTTCATTAACCCGAGGCAACAAATATACAGGTGCCGTTGAAAAAAAAAAAGTTTTCATTAACCCGAGGCAACAAATATACAGGTGGCGTTGAAAAAAAAAAACTTTTCATTAACCCGAGGCAACAAATATACAGGTGGCGTTGAAAAAAAAAAAAGTTTTCATTAACCCAAGGCAACAAATATACAGGTGGCGTTGAAAAAAAAAAACACTTTTCATTAACCCGAGGCAACAAATATACAGGTGGCGTTGAAAAAAAAAAAAGTTTTCATTAACCCGAGGCATCATATTCAAAATGTTCTACTCTTTATACATCTATAAACATGTGTCTAAGAACACTAGTATGAGGATTGCTATCATTGCTAGGCATTGCATGTGAAAAGGGAAATTAAAGGACACCTGTAATGCAGTAGCCTTAGCCTTAGCCTTCCGTTTATGCTCCTCTTCTCTGCAACCAACAACCACAACAAATTGCAATTCAGCATCAACCCCACACAATACAAAACATTCACATTGTATACACACTGCATACATACACACTGCAAACACAGTACATACATACACACACTACATACACTGCATACACTACACACACACTACATACACTACACACACACACTGCATACATACACACTGCAAACACAGTACATACCTACACACACTCACATACACTACACACACACACTACATACACTACACACACACCCTGCAAGTACACACACAATGCATACATACATACACACACTGCATACACCCTGCATACACCCTGCATACATACACACTGCATACATAGTACACAAACACACACACTGTATACACTTTGCACACACAGTACACAAACACACACACACTACATACACTACACACACACACACTGCATACACTACACACACACCCTGCAAGTACACACACAGTGCATACATACATACACACCCTGCATACACCCTGCATACATACACACTGCATACACAGTACACAAACACACACACTGCATACACCTTGCACACACAGTACACACACACTGCACACACACACACTGCATACACACTCATTCACACACACACTGCACACACACACACTGCACACACACACACTGCACACACACTCACACTCACACTCACACTCACTCACACTCACTACATACACTACACACACACACTGCATACATACACACTGCAAACACAGTACACTACACACACTACATACACTTCATACACTACACCCTGCATACATACACTACACACACACTACATACACTACACACACACCCTGCAAGTACACACACAATGCATACATACATACACACACTGCATACACCCTGCATACACCCTGCATACATACACACTGCATACATAGTACACAAACACACACACTGTATACACCTTGCACACACAGTACACAAACACACACACACTACATACACTACACACACACACTGCATACACTACACACACACCCTGCAAGTACACACACAGTGCATACATACATACACACCCTGCATACACCCTGCATACATACACACTGCATACACAGTACACAAACACACACACTGCATACACCTTGCACACACAGTACACACACACTGCACACACACACACACTGCATACACACTCATTCACACACACACTGCACACACACACACTGCACACACTGCACACACACACACTGCACACACACTCACACTCACACTCACACTCACTCACACTCACTACATACACTACACACACACACTGCATACATACACACTGCAAA